AGAAGGTCCAGCTGGTACAAGTAGACTGCACGAGCAAGGGGTAGTTTAGGCTCCCAAGATACCTGCTTCTATTGCTTTGGTTCCTTTCCCTCAACCATACATACAACCTCATGCATAGTATCCTACAAGTAGCTGATGGGAGAGGCTAAAAACACAAGCCTGGTTTACAGAAGGATCTGTACCTTCTGCAGTTGTCAACTGGAAGTGGATGGCTACTGCATTTCAGTACCACTCAAGGGTGGGCCCTAAAGACAATGATGAAGGGATATCCTCCCAAAGGGAGAAGTCAGGCAGCACATCTGGCTGTCTGTCCCGTGCATAAGGAAAGATTGATTGTTGTCTTAGTTTGTTTTGTCCCCATAACAGGCTTGAGAACATTGATTGTGCCCCCAAAGTAGACCTGGAGTCACTTCCCAAATAACTACCTCCAGGGAAAGGGATACGTGCCCATAAAGGTTGTATAAATGAGTTGTTAGAGCTGTGGGCAACTGAGGCTCAATTTCCCCTAGGTTCCCCTGAGGAACTGTGTGGAATTTGCCGCACAATTGCCCCACCAAGAACAAGGAAGCTGAGATAATTTATCCATGTCCCTCACTAGCTGGAGTTGCCCTTGTGGATGTCAAATTCCTACTACTTGTATGCTATCCTGCCCTCAGGCTGAACAAACTCCTGGTGGCCCAGAAGAAAGTCCTCAGGCAGAAAAGGAGAAAGACTAAGTTTTAGTCACTTAGAGTGCACAGGTAGCAAAGGTCTAGGAATTTTCTACCACGGCTCCAGTCCTCTGCCAGAACTCAGAGATAGGATGTGGAGTAGGGAATCAACAATATCCACCACAGCCGGAGGTTTGGATCTATACTGATATGTGGGCAGTGACTAACAGACTGGTTATACAGGCAGGGGTTTGGAAAGAACAAGATTAGAAAACTAGTGACAGAGAACTCTGAGGGAAAAGTGTGTGGATGAACCTGTCAAAATGGCCCCGAATATGAAGATGTTTGTGTGAGGGTCAGACTTTGGGGGTGGTCAGTAGATGGGAGAAGGGAGGATCTCCCATGAAGAACGGGAATTAGGTGAAGGGAGACTTGAGAGACCCAGCACAATACGATGGGATAGATGTTTCCATGTCAAGTGTGAAGGCTTTTTCTAGGTAGAGTAGAACTGTATATGTTTGAGGAGAACTTGGATACCTCCATTTGGAAAGAGGAAGAAAGTAACTTTTTAAGCTACTAATACAACACAATACTGACATTCTATTTAATGGATCACTTTTTAGATGATTTCTTTATTTAAAGCATTATTGTAGATTATAGAAAGGAACCACCAAAAGATTTCTCTTACCAGCTTGTCAGAAAACAGTGGGACTAGAAGGGTGCCAAGGAATTCACATGGGTTGGACAAACGTCTTTCTAAACCAATCCAGAACATATCTGTTTATTTTCAAGATGATTAAAGGAAACTCTTTGGCAGCTTTCCTCAGTGGCCTGTGATACTCTTTAATAGCACTCGGTTCTTTTTGTTTAACTAAAATGTAAAAGTACAGAGAGGTAAAACTCACCAACATGCCAATCAGCAAATGATACTTGCTTACTATAAACTTGGCTTATCTTATAGGACCAACAATAAAGAACGATGTGGGAGCCATAAACTGTCATCTCCTGGCAATAGTCTCCCATTATTATGAATGTTGGTAGGTTGAGAATGTGATTTCACAAAGGGACTTAAGTATTTGGGGCAAAGTTCCAGGGACATTGTGTTCTACTTGACATCAACAATTTCTGCTGTGTCAAAGACGCTTTCCTTTAGAGATTAAAGGCCACTTTGGAAGGATAGGAAGGTTTCAGAGTATAGGCACAAAGTGAACTTGACCTTTACTCAAGATTTTTGTTCCTTTTATTTTTAAAGTGCAGTAGCCATTTGGAAGTATTCCCAGAGATTCTGCCTCCCACTCTTAGGTCGTAAAGGCATTTTTTGTTGAGAAGTGGTTTAGGATTGAGAAACTACCGACACCTTTGTGAGAAAACTATAAAATCCCATTTAAGAGACTGAGAAGGTCTGGATCGAAGGGAGTTCTCACTCAGCCAAGAGACACCTCCAGGCCTTCCCACTGCACAGCTTTAGGGATTCATCCATGCAAAAGGCAGTCTCGAGTTGTCTAGTTTAGAAGCGGGCCATGGAGGAAATAAGCCTTCCAGAGGCTTGTGAGAAAGGAATAGGTGACACAGAAGTGCCTGTTTCCACATACAGGTATATTCATTTCTTTAGGTGTTCTGTGGAATAAGAGCAGAGAAGCCAGAAACTGCTAAGAGCGAAACTAATTAATGAAATTCCTTTATCAACTTGGTGCCTCTGTCAACAGGATAAAAATTACTGTCATGGTGGGCCTCTATGATCTTCTTTTAGAATATTCCATGGCTTCCATTCCTAAAAAGATTGCCAGGCTAGGGTCTTCTCTCTCCCTGAACTCTTCACTTCTCCTTCCATCTCTGTTTGTTTATCAAGGCTCAGATCAGGGAGTCTCTTAGGACCATGTACGAGATCATACTTTGGTTGGCATCATCCTGCAAAGAACGTTAGGAATGTGGGACATAGTTTGTTGAATTATATTTAGAATATTTTTCTTGATGTCCTTAGACAATTCAGCATGTTTAAGTTTTTTTAATAATTTTTTTCAGAGCAAAGATCAGTTTGTGTGAGACTATTCCTTGAGTATAAACACATTTTATAGAGGAAAATGTAGATTTTTCCTGATTTCGATTAAGAGAAGAATTATAACAAGAACCAGTTGTTCTGAAGGCTGCCCATGAGCTATTACTTAACCATAGTCTCTCTCTTCTCTCTAACTATTTTTGTGTTTTGGGTAAAATATCTCTGCCTATTTGTCTCAGAATACACTTCAGCATTTTCCAAAGTTGCCCCTGTTTCCTCAGCAGTCATCTTATACCCCAGAGCTTCTTAGTCTCCATTTTTACTCCTTAGAAACATAAAAGACATGTGTGGAAGATGTATAAGATTCACATTTTAATGTTTTCTTTCTCTTAGTTGGGAAGTTTAAGATGTCTCTAGAACAAACCTATCTCAACATTCCATCAACTCTATAGGAGGCTGGAAAGCTTAATGTTTATGAACAAAGGCTTTGGGAGCAGGAAATTTCCCTTCTACTATTTTCTAGCTAATGGCCCTGGGCTTTAGTTTCCTCATTTGTAAAATAGAGATAGCAATAGTGCTTGCATCCACAGGGTTGGGATGAGTATTACATAAGATAATGCATATGAAGAGCTTAAGCCAGTGCTAGACATAGAGAAAGAGCTCAATAAATGTTAGTAATAATGGTGGTGATAGTGGTGGTGGTGATGATGATAAAGGATTTGGAGTCCCGGAAAGTTGTATTGCAGCATTACAGCATAGCATTTTCAGATAAGAAATCAGATCCCATAATTTGCCAAGGTCATTTGAATTTGCTGCTATGGAAGGGAAAATTACTTCTTTGTCACTTAATTGCTGCCACATAGTCTTACTTAGTTGGAGTGTGTGTGTGTGTGTGTACGTGTGTGTGTGCACTCACATTAATGCAAATGCTGTTATGTCTTGTGTCCCTGCCTTGGTGGACAGGAGTTCTGTTTTAGCCCTTTCTTTAAATCCACGACATCTCTTAATATTGTGCAGTACGTACAGTAAGCTTTCTACAAATATTGAATATATTTTTATTTGATAAAAAATTAAAAGCTCATACAAAATTGTATTAGTAAACAATATTTTGACCTTATGAAGATTTATAGGATGTTTTATTTTTAAAGGAAAAGAAGATAAATTAGGAAATAAGGCCATAGGAACTACTTAGACCTGGTCTCTTTTCCTTCATTCTCCCTGCTGCCCTGCATTTACACAGCATAGTGCCTGTCACATAATTGAAATGAGGTAAATGGTGGCTATTAGCTGTCTTTGTGTTAGAGGTCTTGGTACAGGCAATAGAAACCAACTGGAGCTAACAAGAGGGAATTTACTGAAAGGATATCAGAGGACCGACAGAATCAATAGGAGACTGGAGGGCCACACTCAAGAATGGGCAGAGACCAGGGGAACTCTGACAGGTTAGGGACAGGAACTACAGCCATGGTCTTTACAGCAGGAAGCATCTGCTCAACATGCTGCTATAAGGAAGGAGAACCCAGAGTCAATTTTTTTCTGTTCTTGAGTGACCCATTACAGGGTCAGAGTCCTCTGAGAGTGGGTGATTTGCCAAGCTCAGATCACAGGCTCACAGCCTGGCTGCACCAGGAGCCAGAAGTTGGGAAGAAAGGATCTAGACCATCGCCTACTGTCATGGGAGATGGTACCCAGGACCATCCTCCCTACACATCTATCCACAGGAGAGGAGAGGCAGTTTCCCAAGAAAAAAACCAGGGTACTACCAGGAAAGGGGAATGGATGCTGGACAACCAAAAATGGCAAATGCCCATTATTCCACAGTTCTAATGCCTTGATTCCTGACTTCAGGCATGGTCTGTAGTCTATCGAGTCTTAATTTAGCCTGTGTGAACCTTCAAACACAGTCTGAGATATTCTGCTTTGTTATTCCAGTCCGCTATGTGGTCCAAGGACAGTCCTCCATGTCATCATCCTGCTCTCATCTGAGTGGGACCATCCTTCCAAAGAGATTAGATAGAAATTCAGGAGTTGAGAATATTGTGGCATCAGCATTAGATACTAGGACGAGCTACTTTTATTTATTTATTTGTTTGTTTGTTTATTCCTTCATTCTCTATAAGGAGAAATAAGTTCAAATAATAATTTCCTGTAAATTAAAATCGACTAACACAACACCAGGGAAATTTTGCTAATCTAATTGAAATTTAGGGCCTGAACAGGTAAAATATATTTACTTTTGCTTTTGACACAGTAGAGGATCCTGTTGCTTTGAAAATAGCTCTTAGGTTGATTGGTTTTTTGGATTTTTAGAAGGCCATCCTAATTTAAGGTATTATCCTTTGCTTTTGTTATAGGGGAAAAGTTATCCATTTCGGGGAGCCTTTCCTCCAGTATGGAATCCCATTGCGTATCTGGATTACAACAATCTGTGGCGGACAATGGATAACATGGGAAAGGAGGTAAAGTGTGTTGTCAGCTTGCATATGACCTGTTACTGGAATAACAATAGGAGCTGTTTAATATCCTTCCACAGTACAGAGAACATTGCTCAGGACATTGATACATATCATTTCCAATGCACCCAACAACTCTGCCAAGTTGGTAGTATTTCCACTTTACAAATGAGGAAAATGAGTGCCAAGGAGTTATGGGTTATGTAATTTCCCCAAGACCACACAACAAGGGAACCAGGATTCAAACCAACATCTCTCTGATACTAATGCCTGTGTGTGTTCAACTCTATGCCACTGAGAATTTATGCAACATATTTTTCCAGGTATCCTACTTATAGTTGTCTTATCTATATGTGATGCCATTTTAGATAGTAAAGGAGAGAAGGATTTGTTCCCCCAAAGTTTTATTACTTAGTCTCAGGCTCTGTAACATCACTCTCTCAAACTTAAGTTGAGGACTTAATATGGGTGTTAGCTTTCAATAATAATAATGATCATCATAATTACATATTAATTTATACATACATTTACATGTAATTATTATTATCATTATTATTTTGGCAACAGTATTAGGGCATAGAATCCAAAGAGCTATCCATCCCAACCCCACCGTCTATACATAGAATTGTATGCCAATCACACATTCCAACATAGACAGAGAGATTGGTTTTCAGAGGTTCTCCTGAGGGCCTCTTGGCAGGGCAGTGGGCAGTAACCATCACACCTGAATGTGGACCCTTCTTTCTCTGCAGATTCCAGCTGATGCACCGTGGGAGGCCCCACATGCTGAGGAATGGGACAAGATGACCATGAAAGATCTCATCGATAAAATCTGCTGGACAAAGTAATCTTGACTATTTAAAATTTGCTTTTTATCTTCCCTTCTGATCCTTTCTATCCAATCTTAAACTGCAGTGTTTTCTTAATTATAGGGAAAAAAGTTAAGAGGAAACCTAATGACCTTTAGGTTAGTAGCAACTTTGAGGGCACTTTAGACACTTCAGAGTAAGTTTGACCATAAAATGAATCTAAAACATAAGAAGAAAAGTAGATGAATAAATTAGAACTTGAATGAAAGAGTTGTGTAATTTGCAATAAAACAAGGAATTGTATTTTCAGATTATATAAAGGTCAGGTACAGGAACAGTTTGAAAAAATATTAAAGTAATTCTATATAGATACAGAAAAATATGAAACTGAAAAGAAGCTAGTCTATATTAATAAAAAATATAAACTGTATATAATGTTTTCAATGAGAATCTGTGTTATTAGCTGAATGACTTACAGATCATTCAGTCAGCATTTTGGGGTTGCAATATGAAGGCACTGTACCAAGCACTGAGTAATGGTGGTGAACTTGTTAGACATGGCATGAACTCTTATGAAGCTTAAATCCTTCTAGCAGGAGAGACTGACATTATACACATAATTACGTAATGCTAGGAAAGTGACTATAACAGGAATCCTGACCTGAGGGTATAAGAGATTCCTTGATGAAGCAATCTTTAAACATAAACCAATGAGTTAGTGCATCAACTAAAAATGAGCCACAGAGGATGGGGGAGACAGGAAGGGGCGAACGGTGGGGAGGGGGATGGTGTCTTCCTAGAATGCACCATAGTGGGTGGGGGGAGACAGGAAGGGTGGATGGTGTGGAGGATAGTATATCCCAGGAATGAGCCATAGAGATGAGGGAGGACAGGAAGGATGGATGGTATGAGGGGATGGTATCTTCCAGGATGGGCTATAGTGATTGTGGGAAATAGACAGGAAGGGTGGATAATGTGGAACATGGTATCTTCCAGGAATGAGCCACAGTGGATGGAGGGAGACGGAAAGAGTGAATGCTGTGAGGGAATGGTATCATCCAGGAATGAAACACAGTGCATGGGGGGATACAATAAAGATGGATGGTTCGTAGTATGGTATCTTCCAAGAATGAACCACAGTGCATGGGGAGAGACAGGAAAGATGGGTGGTGTGGTGTGATGGTATCTTCCAGGAAGGAGCCACAGTGGGTAGGGGGAGACAGGAAGGATATATGGGGGGGGATGATATCTTCCATGAACAAACCACAATGACTTGGGGGGGTGGTTAACAAGAAGAATAGGTAGTACAGGGGATGGTATCCTTCAGGATGAGCTACAGTGACTGTGGGGGAGATGGGAAGGTTGGATGATGTGGTGGCATGGTGTCATCCAGGAAAAAGCCATAGTGGATAGGGGGAGACATGAAGAGTGGATGGTGTGAGGGGATGGTATGATCCAGGAATGTACCACAGTGGATGGGGGAGACAGGAAGCATGCGTTGTGTAGGAGGATGGTATCTTCCAGGAATGAACCACAGTGGGTAGGGGAAGACAGGAGGGGAGTATCCCCGTGGGGGATCTTCAGGTAAGAACCACAGTGACTTAGGTGATGAGGGTGACATGAAGGAAAGGTGATGTGGTGGTGTGAAAGGACAGTGTCTTTCAGGAATGACTCACAATTAGTAGGGACAAACAGAAAGGATGGATGGTGGATAGGGAGGTAGTATCTTCCAGGAATGACCCACAGTCATAGAGGCAGACCAGAAGGATGAATGCTGTGAAAAATGGTATCTTCTAGGAATGAGCCACAATGAATGTTGGGAGATATGAAGGTTGGATGGTGTGGGGGATATTATTTTCCAGGGAGACAGAACAGCTCATAGCTTTTATGAAGGCCCTGAGATGAGGAAATTGACATGTTTTAGCAATGAATGGACAGGATGCCTGGACCATAAAGATGCTGTTAGAAAGTGATGTAATGGGGGTTTGGAGAACTGGTTGAGAGGCAGATGGTGCAAAGTATATTGACCATATTTAAGACTTTTGCCTTTGGCCATAAAGGCCATTGAAGTCTTATAAACAGAGTGTTTTTTGAGTTTTGGACTGTTAGAAAACTTCATTGGCTATAATGTGGAGAAGGATCAAGAGGGGATGTAGGATAACCGGGTAGGGATGACCAGGAGGAGCCACCACTTTTGTAACCCTGGTGAGGGACAGTGGTAAACTGGACCAGGGTGGGTTCAGTGGAGGTGGAGAGTAGGGGATGGTTGTTCAAATAAATGAGAATAAATATGCTTAATGATCCTGGACAAGCATATTGACCCTTTAGACTGCACTGGAAATAGCATATTTGGAGCTAAGCTGTAATTTCCTAAAAGCAAGGGAAAAGTTTACTGTTCCCAGGAGTTAAAATTTGCATTCCTTCAGAAATTGGGCCCAGAAAACTTCAGCATGCTCCACTTTGGTAGCCCGGGTTCAGTTCTTGGACGCGGACCTACACCACTCATTGGCAGCCATGCTGTGGTGGTGATCCACGTACAAAAAAGAGGAAGATTGGGACAGATGTTAGCCCAGGGCAAATCTTCCTCTGGCAAAAAGAGGAAGATTGGCAACAGATGTTAGCTCGGGGCGAATCTTCCTCAGCAAAAAAAAGCAAAAACAAAATACATGATATCCTGTGATGGATGTATGTATTTACTCCTGACTTCCGCTCTTGTTCTGTGACCAGGACTGCTAGACAGTTTGCATCTCTCTTTGTGAATATCAATGTGACATCAGAACCCCACCAGGTGTCTGCCCTGTGGTTCTTGTGGTATGTGAAGCAGTGCGGAGGCACCACTCGGATATTCTCGATTACTAACGGGGGTCAGGTATGGAGTGTTCATTCTCATACTATAACTTCATTTGTGATTTTTGCCCTCACCCAGTGTGGTGTCTTAATAATTGCTTTTGTATTTTGAAACATGAGTGAATTTGAGACATGAACTTTTGAAATGATTTCAAAAAACTTTTCTGAAAACAAAATTTCTCATTTCCTCTTCTCATTCCTGAAAATAAGTTCACAGCTAAAGAATGTTTCATTTTGATTAATTAAGTCTTGGGAATTTAGTTCCTTCCTTGTGGAGGTAGATAAAATTAGGCTACTTATGTAAGAGGAGCTAAATTAGTAAAATCAACTAATTTTCAAAAAATTCTAGTACTTCTGAAATTAATGTGCTTAAAGTCATCTCTGTTCCAGACATGAGGCTTTTTTGTCCCATTTTGTGCCTGAAAGTTATTCTTTTATGTTCATTGTTATAGAATGGAAGTGACTGCTCTTTCCTCTAATTCACACAAGTGATTCATAGCCACTCTTTCAATAGTAAATTCTACATTTTTTATTTTAAATTTTTACTGCCCACTAGCATTTGCCCTGATTCCATACCACTTTCATTACTGATGAATGAACTCATTTGGCTCATTGGCTGGACATACAGCAAACCAGTTTTGAGGTCAGAATCCTAATTCTATGATTTTCAAGACTCTGAGGTTCTTTGTGTAAAGGCTCTCCCTTATTCAAAAAGAGATGGGTATCTCTTTTCTAGGAATGTTATCCCTTGGCAGGATGAGATTTAATTCAGAGCAGTTTACTTCCAACTTATGCCCTGCTCCACAGTGGACAATGTAGAGTCTTTCTCCACTAAGTGAATTATTCCTCTCCTTAGGAGATCTCCGGAAGTCCCTAAATTGTTCTTGTGGCCCCAAGAGTTACTACCCATTTGACCGGTAGCTTTAGCAAATGCAGGACAGTTGCATTTTTTAAGTGTCTTTACACCTAGAAATCCCACATTACTCCTTTTAACTTATATTTTTTACTTTCTGAGGTATCCTGACTCATACTTTATATTTATAGCCCTCATTCAGAGAAGCCAAGATACTTCTAACCAAACTCTACATGACCTTTTGGAAAGCACAGTTCAGGTTATGAATCTCAAACCATTATCACAATATCTTTATAAAGAACCTAGATTTATCCTTTAATAATTTAGTTCAGCAAATACTAGACATGAAGGAGTGGACAGAGAACAAGATGGAAATAGTTCATGGTCTTTCCACTATACTAAAATTCAAAGTAACTCTTGGAAAACAGAGGTCAAATTATAAATTAAATGGTCCCAGTTTCTTGAGGAAGGACAGATCATGAATTCAGGTGTGAACTACTACGGGAATATTTTTAGAAAAAACTTTGGTGGTGTCACTAGACCAATAGCCTATGCAGGGTTTTTGGAGGAGCGTGTTTGAGGTACCTAATTGTCAAGTGTTAGGCTGTGCCTCAGTCTACCTACATGTATTTCTAACCATTCAAAGAATCATCTACAACAGGCTAAAAATATTCCCCTGGTTCTTACAAAGTGCATCGTATTAAGGATTTAACCTTCATAGATTAAGCTGGAAGCATTTCCATGGGTGAGTGTGGCAGACCACAGTGGAGCAGAGCACTCATGGTCTTACAGGGCTCCTCAAGGGAATTATTTAACACTGTCTGGAGGAATAGGCAAGTGACTTCTTAGCCTTACACTTCTGCCCCCACAGTGACACTTGCAGACATTTTTGCAAAAAGTTACTCAACCTCTGAGATTTAGATTCTTAGAACATCATTTGGTGATGACCAGATGATCCCTAAGACCACCCTTAGCCTGTCCTCTTAGAGAACATCTTAATCTGCCTAGACAACCCTTGACTGGGACTTTGAGAAATCAGAGGGAATTAGAAACTGCATCCCCATCTCAATAAAACCAGGAAAAACAATAGTTAATTTTTAAAAAAGAAACTGCATCCTCTGGGAGAAGCACAGCACCCTCCCTTTCCCAGGGCTCCCTCCATGCACTGCACTCTTAGGCATTTGAAGCCCCCAGACTTGCTGATATTTGCATTCGCTTAAAGCGTCCCTGGTATGGGGGAACATTTCTTCTGATTCTGCAATTTTATAAACTAGTACTGGCTTTCCATTGCCAGAAGCTGTGCAGAGTGTGATGACTGAGGTGTCTTGGTAGACTTTGCCTCTGTCCTTAATGAGTTCCAACAGTTAAGTGTGCAGAGGGTGGATGTAGGGCCTGTGACTTTCTGGAGTTTTTCTAATCACTGGCAAATATGATTTTCCTTCCTTGAGCTTTTATAACGTTTCCTTTCCTGCCTGCCTTCTCTTGTAGGAACGGAAGTTTGTAGGTGGATCTGGTCAAGTGAGTGAACGGATAATGGAACTGCTTGGGGACAGAGTGAAGCTAGAGCATCCTGTCACCTATGTTGACCAGTCAGGTGACAACATCATCGTAGAGACGTTGAATCATGAACATTTTGAGGTAATTCAGTTTAGTCAATATAATCGAAGCAGTGGTATAATTAATGCTGGCATGTTTCCAACTCAGTCTTCCAAATTATCAGCCTTGGCTGACCTGCCTTGTTCTGTTTTGTTGCCTTGCAGTGGCCTCATTTTGTATGTTGTTACTGCTCAGTGTCATTCAAAATGATAAATATGATATTTCATGCCCTCTACAAAGACTGCGACTCACGTTAGAGGTGGTATTTTGTGTCTGTGTGTTTTAGTGCAAATACGTAATTAGCGCCATCCCTCCGGCTTTGACTGCCAAGATCCACTTCAAACCAGAGCTTCCATCAGAGAGAAATCAGTTGATTCAGCGTCTTCCAATGGGGGCTATCATTAAGTGCATGATGTATTACAAGGAGGCCTTTTGGAAGAAGAAGGGTATGCTGCATTTATTCATGTTTAAATTGTACTAAATGAAGGGACCACACTGTTCTTGGAACATACTAGACATTGAACAGAAAAAGAGATGTATTTTCAAGCTGGAAGAGAGAAGATCAGGAATTTTAGTCTCTACATCTCCTCATAGCCCCTGGTGACACAAAATGACCCCAAGAGCACTTGCTAGCAGTGAGAGGGGAAGAAGAGATCCCCCCAGTTACAGGGCCGCCATTGCCCTGGCTCCTGGCCTATGTCCTACCACTTACTCTTCATGAGCAGAGTGAGACAAAGGGGCACCATGGAAATAGCTCTGCTTTGAAGTCACACATTCCTGGGCTTCACTCACTTCCTAGCTGTGTGGCCTCAGGTGTGACTCTTCACCTCTCTCAGCATCAGTCTCTGTGTTAATGATAACAATGAGGCCTACTGTCAGGGTGTTGTAAGGATTAAATGAGGCAGGGTCTGGGCAGATATGGTGGCTATTGTTGATAAGCCTTCTGCTCATACTCAAAGAATTCCTTCCTGCCACTTCTTCCATGGGTTTATAGGGGTGATTCCCTCTAACACATCCCTCTCTTTCTGCATGGACTCCAAGGCCATCTTACAATTTTAGCCATGCACTGGTCATACATGACTCTTATGTAAAGGTCATTGAGATGGGTCATTTTCCATGTGTCTAGGTGAACAGACATCCTTGTATAGTCAGTGTGCGTATTTAATAGAAAATAGTTCTAGGGTTGGGATAAAGACCAATAGATTAAGATTTGCCTTCTTCTTAGCAAAATACTTTATATATATATATATATATATATATATATTCCCCCTAAATCTCTGATGAGGTCAGTCTTTCTTATTGATCTTCTCCTGGTTAAGATTACTGTGGCTCTATGATCATTGAAGATGAGGAAGCTCCAATTTCAATAACCCTGGATGACAGCAAGCCAGATGGGTCGCTGCCTGCCATCATGGGGTAAGTTAGAGCTGGGTGTTCTGCATTTTCCAAATTGTATGGGTGTATTGGTGTGGATGCTGGCAGAGCATATTGTTTTGGAGTCAAGCTCAAGCAATGAACCCTACAGAAATATATCATGTTCCTCTATATTAAAATATTAGAGTAATGTTTTGTTTGTGGTACCAGAACGCTGGGAAACTTTACTCAAATTGACACCATTTTGAACTTGTGCCCATACATCTCTTTTCTCCATAAAACTTACATATTGAGGACAGAGTGAAAGAAGCAGCTAGACAGGCAGTATAGTAGACAAGCCTGCCTAGAGACAGAATGTCTACAACCATTCTGGAATGAGAACTGACTGTTTTATCCTGTAAAACCTTCCAAAGTTAGGGTTTCTTGGCTTTATACTCTTCTCCATTCCAAACATTGCCTCATAACAGATGTTAATATGTTCATTGTTACCCTCGGATATAAGATGGATGACCAATTAGGAAGTGCAGCTCAAAGTAGAGTCAGGCCTTGAGTGGATAGCACTTTTCCTAGTAGGTCATTCCATGGCTATCCTTTACCAGGGATGGTCCAGGGTGAGGTTCTGTGTCTGGAATAGGAGACCTCTTCCCCTCTCCTCACATCCTGCCACACAGCTGCTCTGCCCTTTGGGACTAGGGGCCCAGAGAAGGAAGTAGGGGCTCCCACAAAGGGATTGCTAAGGAGTGCTGCAGCCTCCCAGTTGCCACGCCTTTCAGTCCTCCTCAAAACTATACAACCAAAAGGGCTATTTATTCTACCACATCATGACAAAAGAGCACAGCTTCTAGAGTAGTCAAGTGACTTTTAGAGACCAGCAGGTTTCCTCTTCACCCCTGGGAGAGTTGAGCTCATGTACATTACATCATTAAAGGGAAATTACAAAACCAAAAGGAGCAGACCCATGATCCAAGGGACCTGGAGAGCAATCTGTGCTACTGGACTGTCAATAAGACATCTTATAACCCCTTCTCTGGCTGTAAAATATAAGAAATCGTACCAGCCCCCCGAGAAGGGCAGGTACTCACAACATAATGACCATCCCCTTCAGCTCTAACCTCAGTGGGCAAGAAAGGATATAGATTATTGGGGCAGTTTGCTATCACCTTCTATATGCCAAAGGAAAGCAGGAGGTTGAGGTAGAGATTTCAGGAGACTGTCAGTCAAGACCAATCCAATTGTAGATGGAAGAACATTCAACTTCTTGCCCTGGGAGTTAGAAACTGTGGCATCTGCCCTTCTGGGCTTTCTTCAGCTTTATTTACAAGGACATGTATGACAGAAGCCTTCCAGATGGTAATGGAGTTACTTAGGCAGCTCCTAAAAAGTGATATTCTACTCTGTTTTATCTGGACGGTTGCCTCCACCTTGTTCTCGCCTTGAAGCTTTATTGCCTCGACACTGCTCTCTGCTCTGGCCAAGGAGAGCCTTGAGGATGAGAGTGGTAATTGCCCAGCACTGTATTTGTTGATAACTACTGCCTTTTGGAAACTAGAAAGGGCTTGTACTTTAGAACTGTGAAAGGTCCTCAACCCAAAGCCAGTGTGTTTAATTTCCTCACTAAAACACCAAAGAACGTTAAAGAGTAGTTGTCCATAGTTAGAATTAGATCAAAGAGGTTATTTAATTCCTGACTTGAGATTTGATAGAAATAGCCAACACTAACTGCCCTTTAGGAAAGGACCTGTAGAAAGCACTCAAGACCTAAAAAGATTTTCAGATAAATCATTTGATCTTTCATCAGATATTGGTGATTTTCATTGAAATACTGCGTAAGTCTAAAATCATCAGTTCTTGCATAAACCCAAAATTTAACTAAAATCATTACTAGCAAGCCATAACATAAGGTATGAAATCAAACAAAATCATGACTATATCCCATAAAGTTCAGTAATTCAAATTTCTTAAATAGTCTACAGCTTCCTCTGAAATACTATTCTCTGGATTAACACAAATACATTTTGCATCTTTGCTTCCCAGAATGATCTTGAATAACAGCTCTGTAAGAATTGCCAATCAAATTAGGAACAGTTTAATCTGAGGGTGAGTGAGAACATGAAATATCTGTGTTCAGCTCTTGCATCTTCAGTCCTGATCTACTTGTCTTTTTGGTCTAGGACAAAACAAATATAATTTTAAAACGTTTTTTAAGTGGAGACATAATTTCATTGTCCTTTAGCTCATTTGGCTTTTTGAAAGATTTCTAATAATAGTACAACTGAGGTCTTCTTGTCACAATTCAATTCTTTGAAATATACATGCAATTAGTGATAGTATTATAATAAGTAGAATCCTTTTGTTGTGAGGAAGATTCGCCCTGAGCTAATATCCATTGCCAATCTTCCCCTTTTTTTGCTTGAGGAAGATTAGCCCTGAGCTAACATCTGTGCCAGTCTTCCTCTATTTTGTATGTGAGAGGCCTCCACAGCATGGCCAATGAGTGGAGTAGGACCACACCCGGGATCTGAACCCACGAACCCAGGCCATTGAAGGGGAGTGTGTGGAAGTTTAACCATTTGGCCGTGGGTCCGGCCCCCAAATAGAGTCTATTTGATTAAAGGGAAATAGACAGATTATAACTGAGTTTTACTGAGCTACTGAATTTGGGGACTGTGCTAGGCCAGTTTTCCAGGAAGCCAACTCAGAGATGGAGATTTGGGTGCAGGAGTTTCATTGAGAAGTGCTCTGGGAAGGGAAGGAATCAGGATCGGGCAGAGGGATATATTGGGCTCCAAAGTTGTCCCAACAGAGGCCTTAGCCATCCCATGGGGAACTCTGAGCAGGATTACCCTTCAGAGATGTCCTGCACTGAGGCAAGGGGGTGGGCCTAGGTACCCCAGAGCCAGTCATCCTGGGGAGAAGAGGGACCTTGAGCCAGGCATTTCTCTGCTGCAGAGTGCGATTGCTGGGGAAGGGTTCAGCTATGAGCTGAGGGCAATGAGTGCTTGATCCTGAAGAGGGATCTGGGTGGCCCACCATGGCATCCACTACAGGCATTTATTTATATTTGTTATTCCAATTTTTCAAGTATTTGGCAGAAGGCAACAGTCATTACCAGGATAATCATTTAATCCAACATTGATTCATCTAATATTTGATTTCCTACTATATGCCAAGAACTGTGCTAAACTTTGGGGGTAGAATATTGAGTAGGAGGTGACCTGTCATGTAGGAGCCTACAACCTAGCAAGGGTTTTGGACACAGAGGCAGATGGAAGACAGCAGGGCATTTGCTCTAGTAGAGGGAAATAATGGGAGGATGTTGGAGCGTTCATTAATGCCAAGTAGGTGGAGGCAAGAACACTTCACAAAGAAGCAGCAACTCTTGAGATAAACTACTAACACCTCATCGTTCAAATGTAACCTCTCTCTCCAGCTTCATCCTTGCCAGAAAGGCTGATCGACTTGCTAAGCTGCATAAAGAAATGAGGTAAGAATTTGCGTCTGAAACAGAAAAGGTTAGCTTTATATTGTGCTTACTGTACTAACCACAGTATAATAGCATTATGGAAAACCACAAATAATTCACTAATATTCTCAAAATCCCAACAAATCAACCTCTTTGTATTTGGCTACACCCCCCTCCACTCGGTCCTTGCCCATATGTATGTATCAATTGAGTTTTACATGTTTGTGTTCATTTTACTGTGATTGAGTGGTAGGATTTCCCTGTAAGATGGATAGAGAAAATCAGAAAACATTAGCTTTGAAAAAAGCCTTAGAGGCCAAGTCCTGTTCACCTTGCAAGACAGTTATTCCTTTTCTAAGGTTCTCTGACTTGTACTTTTCTGAAAAGCAAATCCATATATATGTGTTTCAACCAGTTGCAACTTGTGCACATAAAGTATTCCTCTTTCATTATCTAGGACATGGCTCTGATGTTCCCTTCTCCCTAGAGCTTCCTAGTATAAAACAGTTATTTTAGGACAGTGGCTTTTTTTTTTCTTTCTCCCTTTCTCTCTTTGTACTTTGTATGTGTTTTACTTTGCCTTGGAATCCTTTGTTCAAATAAAGTCTTACTTGGAACTCTTACCTGGAAACAGTCATTTGGCTGGTGGGGGGCTGCCTCTGGGAATTTCTGGGCTTCCCTTCTTTAGGGTAGTCCTAAATCCTTTGTTAGCTTTTGAAGAGGACCAACACACATGCAAATGTGTACTTCTCTCTGCATTTAATTTATAAATTAAGCAGCAAATCCACTAACAGCCCTTCCTTTGAGAGTTACTTTGATGACTTTGGAAGTCAGGAAAAGGCTGCAGAAGTTCCCACACTTGCATGCAAATTTGTTTATTTGAGCTACCGTGAGATTCGATGTCAGGAAGGGAACTATTTTAATGTCCACCTACTCACTAGAAGAGGAATTTGGGCTCCAGTGACAGAGAATGATATGTCCAAGGCTCCATAGCTAGCTTGTGACAAAGTCAGAAATAGCATCTAATGTGTACTTTTTTTCATTACGCCACACTAAGCTTGACATTTTCTTTTGGATTTCCTGCTTTCCCTCCTTATTAATAGTAAAATAAATACCAGCCTGGATGTAGACATTTGGTTATGATTCCACATGGTGGCTGAACTTCTCAAAAGTTTTTATAAGGCAAAACCCTTAGAACTCTGAATATGCCCTTGACCGGAGCACTGGTACCCAGAACTGACTGAATCAAAATCTCCCAAAATATGTTTGGAAAATATATTTTTCTGAGGCCATTAGATTATGATTTGGTAAGTTAGGGGTGGGGCCTGAGTATTTGTATTTTTTAACAAGCTTTTCCAGTGATTTTGATGAGCAGCCAGATTTAGAAACCAGTGGGTAAATTCACCTACAAGATGACCTCTTTTGGCCATCATTTAAAATATGTTCTGTTATTTTCAGAGCCCAACTAACCAATCAGTGCATTGCTCCAATATCCTTGTTTTATATAACTTTTCCTAAAATTTGTAATTTTAATGGGTGGAAAGGGATGGGGAAGATAATTTCCTGATATATTTGTATGAACTCATCCTTGACTCATCTCATAGTATGGAATACAGTAAATAATGAGTTATATTTCTAGTATAACTACTTTATCATTCATGAATGAAAAATTAACTACAATGTAGGTTGACTGGATTTTAGGTTTCACTCTGTTTTACTAAAGATTTTATTACATGTTCCAAAAATAACTTAAGCATCATTAAGCTTTTCAGAATAATGATTATCAAAACTTTTGTTTTCTAATTGACTCAAAATGTGAGAGTTATTCTTTGTAACACTCTTATGAAGTAGGTGAGAATCAGTCATCTCATCATAGAGTAGGAAAGAGGGTACCATACTAGGCTGAGGATGGGTTTGGATTACATAAATTTTTATTGAGCACTTACTACAGGTGCAGTGCTCAGGAGAGTAGAGCCTCAGCCCTGCCGTTCATCAGCTGAGTGATGTTAAACAGGTCTTTTCAGCACACTGAGCCTCAGCCTCCTCATCTTTGTAATGAGCGGCTTGGATTAGACAGAAAGAGACAGACAGGTGGACAGTAGTCCTGAGACTTCTTCCAGTTCTGCCTCTCCTTTATGATTATTGATCTGTAGTATGAACAGCTCCTTGGAGGAAACCAAACTTTTCCTGTCTGTACTAGAACTTAAATAGCCACCTAATATTGAGTGACATCACCTCAAGAGTGGCATTTGTTTCTCCCTTAAAACCTGCCATGGTAAAATGGTGGCAGTAAGCAATGTTTATAATTCGACCTCCTCCTCCTGACTTAACACTGTATATTCACAAGATGGAAGTTCTGGGGTTATATAAATGGTATAAATGTGAGCATTTGGATAAATTTACAAGGTTATATTTTGTCCCACGTGATTCAGAGAAATTGGAGACATGTTTGAAAAATATTTTCTAATGTAATTGGCAACATAAAATTGTCATCTTTTAAAATGTCTGTTTCTTTTATTACTGGTAAGTGTAACCTTCCCCACACACACATTTTTGGCCATTTGTCCCTTCAGCTTTTAATGCTCGTCTTACAGATTTGAATTAAACCCTTTGCCACATTTTTTAGCAAATATCTTTCCAGTTGCTTGTTAGCCTGTAACAAATAATTTGGAGCACTTTCAATGTTTAAACTATATAAAAACTAAAGTAGGCAAATACCAAAAGTATATAACTGGATCAGTGTGAACGTATTCAAACAAACCCTGAAATAGAACTGTTCGTTTCTAAAATGGGTGATTTTAGTAAATTGGAACTTTTTAATATCACCAAGAGTGGTTGTAAGTTTAAAATGTGTCTGTTTCAAAAAGTGCTTAGTTAAATTAAACTACTGATTTTTAAGATATAATGCATGCCATGTTCTATGCTAGTCATTTACATAATGAATTATGAGGGTAACCAAAGACTGCGTTTGAGGTAATACCACATAGTGCATCATGCCCACTCCCCAGATGCCCTTTGAAGTACTCTGTCCGCAGACCATTCTGACAAGTGACAGATTACTAGGCTGGAGTGACTCTAAGCCTCTCCAGGTATAGCATATTTTATGTTTTGCTTGAAAGATTAAATTAGCTTTATATGTTTGTAGATCTTTAAAACATAGATATACGATAGTTAAAAGACACTGTTATATGTACTATAAACTTATAAAAGGATTATTCTAGAATTCTACATATTCCAGAAAAGTGACTTAAAATTAATTCCTAAAACTGAATTTAATTTAATCTCATTTTCCCCATTTTAAACTTGAATAGATATGGTGTAGGGTAGTGAAAGAGGCAAAAATATTTTTAAAAAGGAAAATTCTGTCGAATCTTCAAGTCAAATGACTGTATTGAAGCACAGAGTTAATCTGAGAGCAGAGATTCACGGAACTGTTCGTTTTGTATAGTTACGGAAGGCCATTAATTCTAATCTTTCCTTAATCTGACTTATTGGCAAGAGCCCTGGAACTTGCTCTCTTTATTCTATTCTCATCACTTATTACTTCCTTAACATTTTTTGTTCTTTTTTATAGGAAGAAGAAAATCTGTGAGCTCTACGCCAAGGTACTGGGATCCCAAGAAGCTTTACAAGTAAGAAACCTCCAGCTTTAATCCCTAGTAGGTTCTGCCCTGTTTGCTCTGAGTGGTAAAGCAAAGCAGATTCTGCTTTCCTGACAGTCTTATGAAGAGAGTACAAAGGGATATGCTTACTAGAAGATTAACTTCACCAATCACAAAAGGCTATTAACAGTTGCTGTCAGGTGCATGCAGTTTCTGATGCAGCGGTTCCTTGGGCTGTTTAAATGTTCACTGGGTAACTGGCAGCCAATTGTAATCAGAGCCTGGAGCTGGAGGTATTGTCCGGAGGGGGTGAGATCAGTTCCCAGAACAGAGATCCTGCCTTCTGTCAATGTCAACTGACTGCTGTGAAATAAAATCCCAGCTATGTCATCATTTGTTGGTGAAGGCACAGTAGTGTACACTTGACAAGATGGACTGAATCTGGACTCTCCGCCCAGGTCAAAGTCATACTGATTTATTTTTCCATCTGTAGACTCAATTCATGGCTCCTTTAGGAATTTTCGTGCTTTCAATCTGCCACTGAAAGCGATTATGAGAATGAAATTTTTGAAGAACCTACCAGATAGTTGGGGGCTCATTCAGGCTATTACCTCTGAACTGTTCAAATAAAAAACTTGTAGGACGTGTTAGGGAAATCAGAGAAGGTTCTCTCTTGTCCCTTGAGAAACACTTTTCATCTTAATTGTCCCCTGTTTAGCAGGATTCCCATCATTCACTTTTCCAACTTACACTTTTTGGTTGTGAAGAAAGCCTTTCGTAGGCACTATGCTTATCTTCTACCTCCTCCCCTCCACTCTTTTTTCAGCAGTAATGCCTTAGCAGATGGGAGAAGGAAAGGAAAGATGGGCGAAGTAAAGAAAATACAGAGAATTCAGAGATTTAAGCAGAACTTTCCAGAACCTGCTTGTCAGTGGGGTTTCCTGTATACTTAGGTCTAAAGACTTCAGAATCTGCGTGGAGAGGCCCCTCTTCCAGTTATTGGAATATTTCATGTCTCTCCTAGAGAAAAGGTTGAGAAAGTCAAAGTATACGTAGTTTGTCACTTGGTACCTCACAAAAGGCCATTACTTGATACTGTCATATTTCTCCTTAAATGAGTTAGAAATACAGGGCTGCCTTTTTTTAATGTAAATTTTTTGTTAAAGTAAAACACAGAAGAGCCTTTATTATTGACCGCTAGCATTTCAGCTTTGTCTTCCCTTTCACATTTTCTCCCCACTGATCTGCAGCCGGTGCACTATGAAGAGAAGAACTGGTGTGAGGAGCAGTACTCAGGGGGCTGCTATACTGCCTACTTCCCCCCAGGGATCATGACTCAGTATGGAAGGTACTACCCAGACACTATACCAATTAATACAAGACATACACCAAACTTAAAAAGATAAGCAGGTCAGGGGCTAGTCCGGTGGTGCAGCAGTTAAGTTTGCACATTCTGCTTTGGCAGCCCGGGGTTCACCGGTTCAGATCCCGGGTGCAGACACGGCGCTATTTGACAAGCCATGCTGTAGTAGGTATCTCACATACAAAGTAGAGGAATATGGGCATGGATGTTAGCTCAGGGTCAGTCTTCCTCAGCCAAAAGAGGAGGATTGGCAGCAGATGTCAGCTCAGGGCTAATCTTCCTCAAAACAAAAAAAAAGATAAGCAGGTCAGCCTGGTGGCCTAGTAGTTGAGCTCAGTGTGCTCCACTTTGGTGGCCTGGGTTTGGTTCCTGAGCATGGACCACTTGTGGGCATACCACTTGTCTGCCAGTGGCCATGCTGTGGTGGTGGCTCACATCCTAAAAGAGGAAGGTTGGCAGCAGGTGTTAGCTCAGGGCAAATCTTCCTCAGCCAAAAAAAAAAGATAAGCAAAGTTCAATGGAAATTGTAGAAATAATCATCAGCATTCTTATTTCTAATGCCCCAGATAGTCGGTTTATGTATTTCTGGATATCCATAGGAAAATAAGTATGTTAGTACATAGATCAACAGCTATCAGTACCTAGAACAATCACAGAACACTGGTGAGCATTTCAGATGTCAGCAACATGTGAGAATTCTGCAAGCTGCAGTGTCCTCCAAGGGGCCTTCTTGAGCTCAACTAGAATTTAGCTTCATATGACTAACCTAGGCTCCATGGCACCAGTCTACACAGAAGGACATGGGCTAAACACGTCTTGCCATCCAGAACAGCATCAGACATTCCTCTTCACAGGGAAGCATCCTTGCTGTATACAGCTAAGGTGTGAGGAGGTGATATCCACTCAGGCTGGGAGAATTCACCTTGGCTTAGAAACCTCATGCCCCATAGTGGTCATTGTCTCTCGAAACAGCCTCTTAGGCTTAGTGTCCAGGGTCCCTGTAAGGCACATGCCCAGTTACAAAAGGCACCACACTCTGGGAAGCCCAAAATGATAAACTCCTACCAGGCATTTACAATTCATGACAATTTTCCCAGCCCAGATGCAATTTTCCAATGTAGGGGTCAAGGGAGACATTTTTACCATAAGCACTGTTACCTGGTAACGTAGATGGCATTATTCTTCATCAGATTTCCGAAGGAACAGAGCTAGAAAGTTAACTCAAGGTTGTGTTTGTCCACAGAGAAGGAAGAAGGATTTGTTAATCCTTTCCTTACATGAATTTTTTTGTTTGTTTATTCTCTTTTGTTTTTGGTGACAAAGATTGGCCCTGAGCTAACATCTGTTGCCAATCTTCCTCTTTTTTTTCTCCATAAGGCCCCAGTACATAGTTGTATATCCTAGTTGTAAGTCTTTCTAGTTCTTCTATGTGGGATGCCACCACAGCATGGCTTGATGAGCAGTGTGTAGGTCTACAACCAGGATCCGAACTGGCAAACCCCGGGCCGCCAAAGTGGAGTGTGCGAACTTAACCACTACACCACTGGGCCAGCCTTGTTTATTCTTAATTGAACCGTTAATTAAGTAATGATTTTAGTTAAATTTTAGGTTGCACAAGAATCAATTATTTTAGACTTATGCAGTATCTCAATGAAAGTCATTATCTGATGAAAGATTAAATGATTTATCGGAAAAACTTTTTTGATCTTGGGTGCTTTTTACAGTTCCTTTTCCAAAGGGTGATTTTTGTTGTCTATTTCTGTCAAATCTCTAGTTGTGAATGAATAGGCTTTGTTAGTGATAACAGGATTAATGAACTGGAGTGGACCTGGATTTAAAGTAGAAGTCTACAGGATGGGACTAGGATTAGGAATAGATGAAGCCAAAGATTCCTGAATTGGAAAAAGCCATGACAGTGGATTAAGGTAAAGGCCTTTGGGGTGGAGGTGTGCAGCTTAGGAGAGTTCATGAAAATGGCTGCGGATGTGGTAGGAGTCAAAGTCAACAAGGTAGGAGAGGACAGTTGCCCAGTCAGCTTAGCCCTTCTGTGGTTCTCTTCACCAAGACCTGTTTGTAAGAGAAGGCCCATTTCCCTGCCCTCAGCCAGTCTCCAGATAAATTCATGGAAGCAAACTCTGCAGAGGTTGTCTTTTAAGGAGACAGACATATAAGCCCTTGGGTCTTTCCTTTGCTAGAAGGTAGTTAATCTCCCTGTCTCCCCACTTGCCGCCACGGTTCCTGCTGACACCCTGGGAGTACCTGCATGGCTGGGGTCTGCAGTCAGATGTGATCTCATGAGGAATGCCCCCCTTGGAAAGACTGTAGGTAGCAAAACAGACCACAAACAGGAACCACAGAGCAAAGAAATCTGATTGTGGATTTAATGCATGTTCTCATATTCCAGTTCTGGCTGGTGAGGAAAAAGTCAACATCATCTTTAGTGACTGATGATCTGACAGCCTGATTCTCTCTGGCTTGAAAGTTCAGATCCTTGGGTGCAGGTGCAGAAAATGGGGAGGAGCCTTTCACCTTTGGCTGAGTCACATGGGAGTTTTTAAAACAGTTTGAGTTTCCTTGTCTGTGGGGTAAATGAGGGCAGTGATCGGCTCATTTACCCTCAGCGCCTTTCCAGGTAACTATTTGACCTCTCTGTTCCCTTAAAGGGTGATTCGTCAGCCAGTGGGCAGGATTTACTTTGCTGGCACGGAGACTGCCACACGCTGGAGCGGTTACATGGAGGGAGCAGTAGAGGCGGGAGAGAGGGCAGCTAGAGAGGTAAGGGAGGAAGGGGAGTCACTCTCCCTCCTCAGTCCAGCAGTGTGTTTGGTACCTGGCCTTTCTAGATCTTGACACTGATAAATCTGTACGTCCACTTCTCTGCCCCTCACTCTACTCATGGGGCTCATCTGTGGCCAGCAGGGCCTTGAGTCTGTCGAAACTACAGAACTTTATTTCATAATACCATGGCCATTTTTTTTCAGATCTTGAATGCTTTGGGGAAGGTGGCAGAGAAAGACATATGGCTTCAAGAACCTGAGTCAAAGGTCAGTTTGGCAGCTCCATTTCCATAGACCAGTAACTACATGTAAAACTCCTATCTCTCATCTTCTAGCCTCTGATGTAATTGTAGATGCCACTTTCCAGGGCACATCCGTGCACTGATTTTACAGATAGGTTTTGCCCCTCCTTGTCAGTGCAAGAGTTTTCTGCTAATGATCTGTGTTCATTCACCTAGGATGTTCCAGCTGTGGAAATCACCCATTCCTTCTGGGAGAGGAACCTGCCTTCCGTGGGAGGCCTCCTGAAGATCATTGGATTTTCCACATCAATCACCGCCCTGTGGATCGTGGTATACAAATTCAAGCTGCTGACACGATCCTAAAGATTCAGCCTAATGCTTTCTGCTTGCTCTTTCCCAGCACCATCAAAAGCAAAACGTTGCCAAATTAAAGACCTTGTCATTGGATCACCTTTAAGTGCACTGAATTTAATCTTTCAGTTTAGTCTTAGTCAATGTTAAAGTGAAAACAATCCAAAGAATCACCTCATTAATTTCAGTCAGATCAAGCTCCATCTTGTTATTTGTCTGTGTAGACTAACTTGTGTTGATTGGTGGAATAAAACCTTGTGATCGTTTTCTTAATTTCAAGAAGTTAAAGTTGAAATGTTCATTCTGAAACAATTTCTGTGTCCTGTTTTTCTCCCCTTTAACACAAAATGCCGGATGATTGCAGAAATGAAGCATTTAACTTTCTCTCTGCGAGGTTGAGTAGATTAAGGCCCAGCCTGTGACTGTCCTTTTCAGTCCTTAGGAAATGAGGAAGTATAGGTCCAGAGCCCAGAGTCTCACAGCTTCTTGGCGTGAGCAGCTCACACTTTGGATGAAAGAATAAATAGTAAATGAAAGCAGTGGAGGCTGGAGGATGTAAGGCCCTCAAACCAGTATAAGGAACATCTTATGGGCTGCTGCCTCAGGACTCTGCTGACTACTTCTAATTCCTGTGAAGTTTCTGGACATCTAGTCTTAATGCTAGCTTGTTTGTATTTTCCTGTTTTTCTTCTTAAAGAGGGCAGTGTTTACCAACGTATAATGTTAAAATTGACTTGCTGTGACTTTTGTGCAGCTCCCCAGGTGAGCAGAGTAAAATAGTGGCAAGACTGTTCCCCAAGAGGCCTCCCTGACCAGCTCTGCATGAGACCAATTGCAAAAGGCATCTGCTCTTTCTCCTGGAAGGTGGCTAACCATTTCTTCGCTCATTGTCAATGATAACATTCTCTGCCGATTTCAAGAAAGCAGTGTTTTCCTTTTTTCAGGTAGATCCTTGCCTTCTGAAGGCCCCTAGTGGCATACATTTTTTCTTTTTTTCCTACAACCATAGTAGAATTAGGCATATCTGTTAACTTGTCTTCAACATGGTTACCTTTGAGTAAATGTTAGCATGCCAATTTCTCTAATATGAACTGAAATACATGTGATAAATTTCTGATTGTTATTTGCTGAGAGTATCAAATACAGAAAGGGAATTACAGCTCTATATTATAACCTCCCTTGCTTCAGTTAGTAAGTTTTATAAACCATAAAATCAAGTGATTTTATATATGATGACTAAGTTCTCTATCTTAGGAGAAATGTGGGCCCAGAACAGTGCTCACCTCTTGTCTTTCCCCTTTAAAAAGCTATCAGACTTTTTAAATCCCCGTCGAAAGGTTTCAGCCATAAAATACTCCTTTTTTTAAATATAAATATCTCGAAAAACTGAACACAGATGTGATCAAATAAAGTAGTTGAGAAGATTCCATGGACTCGGGTACACAGGTGGCGGATACCCAGTAATACCTTATTCTGTATCATTGATTAACGAGGCATTTTACTTTAAATGAAGTTTCTGGGTAGCCGAAGCTGCTGCTTTTATGTGCCCAAATTTTCAAATAAAAATTTTGATGGACCTACTTCTGCGCATTATCAAATATGCTAGATGCCAGTTCATCTTTTTTTATTAAGGAGGTCAATCTATGTATCTCAATTATTTTATACTTTTATAATAGAGCGATACCATTCGGTTTGCCCCTCTGCTAAATGTCACGTGATTGTTTTATAGCTGGTGAGTCTCGTGCTTCTTCTGTCTTCTCCCATATTCAGTATTTTATATCCTTGTTATCTCCATTATCTCCCAATACCTCTTAATTTCCTATCTATTTTTTATTGAATGGGAATTAAAGATTGCCAGACCAACCCAAGTTTATGCCATAATTAACCTTATCATCAATCCAAAATTAAGTCACTGGACCCTGGTGCAAGGACTAGTTTTGCCTATCTTAAGAGCAAAGAGCAGGATTTTTCTGCCACTCTGCCTTTAAAAAGCATTTTAGCTAACTTAGGAGTTTTAGTCATGTCTTGGCTATGCTCCAGTACATAAGGAGTTGTCGCATATTATATCAAACTGCCTTGAGAATCACATCCCTGATCTATTTCACTTGTTTCTGTTCACTTACTGATTAACTTGGTTCACCTTGTGGGAAATGCTGATTTAAACTTTTTAGCTGGCAACATTTTTAACAGTAATCAAGTTGTAAACATATCTAAGTATTGAACGTGGAAGGACTCCTGAGTATGTGATTTACCCTCTGCTCAAACTTTTGAGAAAAATTAATTTATCCTAATTAGATCAGCCCTGTTAAACTAGAAATTGAGCATCAAGATGAATGCCATTTCAGACATGAAATCGGAACTGAGAACTCCCACCGTATATGAGACTGTGCAACACAAAGTTACCATAGGTCTTTTCTTCAACCCAGAGAAGCTACAGTCGGTGTAAGCAGTTCATAGAGCCTGGACCTGTTAAGGCGTCTGGTTCACAATTCTGAAGGCTGAGTTGGCCTCACCTGAGAAGTAGATTTTAAAAGTTAACCCTTTTTGTCACAACTATTAAATAAGGACTTATACTACACTGAAGAAAAAATATTGAAGGGTTGTGAACTACATTTAGTTTGACTGTGAACTTGCTGCCTAATGTTCTGTCTGAACAGTGCCCTCAGTGCTACATGTGGGAGTACACCTATGTATGTGTTGCCATTGAAGTACGATTTCGCCTGTATGGTACTGTTTAGTTTGTTAATAAAGTGCACTACCACCCCTGATTCAGACCTCGCTCCTCTATGTAGTCAGTGGTCCCAGGGTTAAATGGCCTCTTATAGCAGGAGTTCACAATGAGGTGTGGTCCATGGATGCTGGGCTTAAAAAACACTTTGTATTGACTCCAAATTCTCATAGTTTAATTTGACTTTCACGTTTTATCAAGGTTTCCTGGAAGCTGATTAAATGCTAGAATATTGGGCCACAATATTCTGGGCCACAGTCAGTCAATGTGGAGTCTGATTGAAGCTTTCTCACTTAATCAGCTTATGATACCTTAAGGAAATCACTTTGGTTCTCTGCCTCAGCGTCTCCCATCTGGAAAAGGGTAGGTTGCACTTGATGGCTTCTAAGGATTCTTTTCATGGCAACATTATATGATTTATGAATTTGTTGCATATCTGTAAGGCAGGGGCAAGTCACTCAGCCTTTCTGTATCTTGGTTCACTCCTTGTCTTAGGTTGGGTTCCCTAGAAACAGACTGAGATGCAGAGTCGGGAAGAAAGTTTATTAGGGACAGCTCTCAGGAAATACAACTATGGGAGTGAGGAAGGGAGGATTGGGCAGGAGTTGACCTACAAAGCAGTTGCAACTGAGGCCTCAGCAGATCCTAAGCGGGAGCTGGGAAGGCCCTTCAGAATCGTTCCCCATTGAGACAAGGGAGTCTGGCCTCTATCCCTTCATTAGCTGCCCCCTGGAAGGGGGTGTTGCCTTGAGTGAGGCCGGTCCAAGGACAATTTCTAGTGAGGAAGTGCAGTGAACTGAGATTAGCCTGTGTTCTCAGCAGCTGGAGGATCCAGGGAGGGGTACCCACAGTATCTACTTTACTCCCCCTGAAAATATATAGAATTGCCCTTTGTCATGTAAAAGACCTTGTGGACTTGAACTTTGGTTTGATAGGTAGAATGAAGCTATCTCTGTGAATCTATCCCTGTTAGGTAAGGGAACTGCTTTTACACGGTTCTATTTCTGCACTATTTATGTAGAAGAAAATAATCAGAGTTGGAAGAAACGCTGGAAATGATTCAACCTCTGTCTCAATGAAGGAGCCCCCTCAACAGGTTACTAACAGGAAGATCAAGGGGTAAAAATGTGCATTTGTAAGTAGGAGCCGAAAATCCAATGTTTTCAAGAGTTGGGCAGCTAAAAATCAACAGCATCAGGCATGAGACATTAGAGAGTACTGAGGACTGTGGCTGACCTGAGGAGTATTTGCCCCTCTGAAGGGCATTTATGTTCAAATTCCTTTAAAAGATTGCTAATCAATGAAAACGCATTTGAAGTTTTGCTCACATGTCCAAGTTGTTCTGAAGCCTCTGATAAATAAGTGCAAGGTTTCATTTTACATCACTTAAATGACAAATTCTTTTTGGATGTCTTTGATTTTCTGAGAAATGAGCACCAAGACCAGCACCATTTTATAAAACTACCTAAAGCAGGTAAGAGAGTCTGGTTTGGAAGGGGAAAAAGACAGAAAAAAAGCCTCTTAGACCAGAAATCTCCCTCAAGAAATAGCCCTTTCCCCAGCCCATCCCAAGGCAATGCTTATCTCCAGCTACTTCAGTGTCATGATTGACAAGAGCAGTGCTGAACTTTATTGGAAAAACTGCATCCTCGTGATGAGATAGAAATCGCAGCTCTTCTGTCAGCATTTAATCTCTGCTGACTGTGATATAATTCTAGTAAACGGGACATCAACATTGAATGGATTAATTTTTTTAAACTATAAAACTATACTGTCCACTTTATACCGAGGTGGTGGTCAAAGTGCAAGGTGTGTCCCTTAGCCCAAAGAAGCCGGCTGACATTAAAGGAACAGGATGGAAACAGAGGAAGGTATTGGGTAACTAACAATTCCCTTTCTTCTATCAGAGCTCAGGGCTTGGCTCCCTTCCTTGACCAAGGCCATTCTCTTCAGAGTTTGAAGGCAGGTCTCAAAGTGACAGCTGATGTAAACTAGTCTTAGCCTGGAGCCAGGTTTCTGAAGGTAGCTTTGGGCCCTCGTGTGAAAAATTTGTCTTGAAGGAACTTGGAGTTCCTTCAAGATGGATCATGGGCCACTCAGGCAAGATCCCCCCTAATGCACATATGACCCATACAAGACTGTTATTTATTTCTACTCCTTTACACTCACATCTCAGTGGGAACCAGGTTTTCCTATTAATGGGCCTCAGATATTTTCCAAGAACCATCGAGATCCATAGCTGAAATAGTGATGGAGCATAGTGGCGTAGGTGTATGCTGGGGAGTAGGGTGGGAGCAACAAAAAAAAAGGAAATAGAGGGATGCTTAAAAGTCCACAGAGCAACATGATGAGAAATTGATGGGTTGATACCCCCAAAGTGAATAGGGCACCCCAAACCTTGTGTCACTTACTCTGACTCAGAATACCTGCCTTATAGAATTGATGAGAAAAGTGAGAGAATGCAGGTAAGGGCCCAGCATAGCAAGCACTCAGTAAGTATTAGCTATTATCCATCGATCTTTTAGAATGGAAGAATACAGAAAGCACTTTTTAATTTTTTTTATTTATTTTTTTGATGAGG